CTCCTCTCTCTCCTCTCCAATCCATTCTTTACAGAGCAGCCAAAATAATCTTCCTAACCTGACTGTGTGACTTTCTAACCCACTCCCATGTTCAAAAGCTTTCCCTATTAATTCACAGGATGAATAGAGTATAAGAAACCTTGGAGACTACCTAGTCCACAGCCTTCTTTTACATGTGACTAACTGAAGCCCATAGAGGTAAAGTGACCCAAGGTCATACACGTAGTAAGAAACAGAAACTGTATCTGAACCAAGGTCCTCTAATTCCAGACCCAGAACTCATTTCACAATACCATGCTAATTGTAAGATAAGCTATGACTCCTTGGCTTAGAATTTAAGAACCTCCACAACATGGTGTCAACCTCCTTTTCCAATCAGATTTCAGACTACTCCCTTTCCCATAGTCTTCATTCTATAATTCTCTATAATTCTCCTAAATATGCCCTCCTCTGCCTCTAAACATTCACACAGCTAATCCTTTATACCTAGGATATATACTCTCCATCTGCTGCTGCTGCTGCTGCTGCCGCCGCCGCCGCCGCCTCCTCCTTATGTATTGAGAACCTTGTCCTCCAGGCCACATTCAGGTACCATCTCTTCATGAAGTCTGTTTTTGATTTCCTTGACTAAAACTGCATACTTTTTTTGCCCTCATCACTTTTACCTTGTATCGTGTGTGTGTGTATGTATGTGTGTGTGTGTGTGTGTGTGTGTGTGTATTACATTCATTTAACAGACTACAAACTCATTAAAAGCAGGACCATCATTTTGATCCCCAGTGACTAAGTACACAATGCTTTACCCTTTGTAGATGACTAATGCTTATTAAATCAAATGAGATGGAGTTGATGTGGAAATCCTCAAAGATTCATTTCTCTCAATTCTCAATTTTACTTGGAGTCTTTTCTTCTTACATTTATCTTTCCTTATGTCTAAACCCCCTCTCTCAGAGAGTTTAATGATTGAGAGATTGTTTAATAATGGTTAAGCCAGAGCAACAGATGCCATATCATAAAGCAAAATTCAGTTTTTATTTAAAAACACATGAGGCCATAATTCATCATGGTATGTATTAAACTCAAGATGTTAACTGACAGAATCACAGAATCTCAGAGGTGGAAGGTTCCTCAGAGGCCATCTAATACAGTCCAAACCCAAACTAGTATTCTCTCTACAACATGCATGACAAGTGCACATCTAACCTCCTCTAAAAAATGCCCGGTGAGGGGAAAACCCACAGTTCCTTGAGGAAGCCCATTAAATTCTGGAAAGCTCTGTTAGGAAGATTTTCATTATATCTGCCCACTGTTCTGAGGTCTACTTTCTGGGACCAAACAAAAATCTAAACCCCTCTTCCGTATATCAGCCCTTCAAATACATACTTGAACATAGCTATCATACTTATCTTAGCTATCATACTTATTCTTATTTTTAAGTACACTCTTGTGGAAAGAGCACTGGACTGAGAGTCAGAAGATCTCGCTTTTTGTCCTATTTCTACCACTAACTAGCTATGAGAGTTAGAGAAGTCATTTTCCTCCTCTAGGCCTCAGTTTTTGGGGTTTTTTTTTCATTTATAAAAGGAGGGGACTAGATTGAAAGATCTCCAACTTAACTTTCAGTTCTAAAGTCTTATAATTTATACCTTTAAAACTTATTATACTGCATGAAAGGTTGATAAACCTTATGATATTTATGTTGTGAAAATCAAAAAAGGAAAAGGTACATTCAAGCAGAAAACTTTGCCTGAAGTAACACTAGGCATAACATTTCAGGACAGTGATAAAAACTCATCCAAACTATGCATTTTCCCCGTCAATCAACTTAATTCAAGGAGTATTTATTAAATTCCTACTATATGCAAAGCAGTGATGATATAAAGCCAAAAAACCCTGAATAGTGATCATAATAATAATAAAAAAAACTAATAGCTAACATTTATTTAGTACTTTAAGGTTTACAAAGTACCGTACATATGCCATATGCCACCTAGAGCAATGCCATTTTGGACCTCTTCAAGCACGAAGGGCAACAAGCAACCAACCAACCGGTATTGTTATTATTCCTATTTTACAGATGAGGAAACTGAGGCAAGCAAAGGTGAAGTGACTTGTCTGGGGTCCCACGATTAGTGTTTGAGGCAGGTTTTGAATCAGGACTTCCTGAATGCAAATCTAGTGCTCTATGTCCTATTCTACAGAGCTACCTAAAAGATCCCAGCCTGAAAGCAAAGAGTCTATATTTGTTAATATTTAGGGGTTTGGGGAGGGAGGTGGGGTAAAAAGGGATTGGTATGGGTTACAACATGTAAAAAAGTAGCACAAGAAATTAAGGAGAGAGAAAAACATTAACTGGGAGGATCAGAAAAGGTTACCTTTAGGAGGCAATTACTTACTCCATTAATCCAGTTGCCTGGAATATTATCCCACCTCACTTCATCTCCTAGAATCCTAAGTTCAGGTGGTCACCTCCTACTTCAGGTCTTTCCTGATACCATCCCTCTCCTCCTCCCATTGTTAATATTTTCCCTTCTGATATTACTTTGTATTTATGTATTTCCAATCTTCCCCCTAATAAAATATAAGCTCATTGAGGACACAGACTTCTTGAATTCTGGCAACCCAACTGGCTATAACAGGAAAACTATTTACATGACTCTAGGAAAGAAAATAAAATAGGTTTCTAACCTAGATTTCACTGCAGAATGCAAATTATTATCGTACTACTTGGGGGAAAAAAAAGGAAAAACTCAGTAACTATTTAATGTCATTGTATTTTAAAATAAAGAAGAACCACTCAAGTATCCTGAAAATTCTACTAATGATCACAGGCCAGGCATGATATTTTCAATATTTAGCCAACATACACTCCCTACATATTTAATAATTCTTTACATGGTAAAGAAGAAATTCTGTGTTTGTTACATGATGTTGGGGAAAGGACATGCCAATGATCCTATAAAAGTGGACACCAGGGATCTTCTCTCAATATTTCAGCCATCAGTTTGGAGGTTCTACTTGCAGAATCTCTATAGATTTAGGTAACTTCTTTTGAGTCCACTCAACAATGGACAATGAGAATGTGAAGTATTGAAAAAAAAAATTAGAACTTTGCAACCACATCAAACTTTGCGTCTTTGGGCACAACATAAAAACCTAGTGGACCTCTGAATTTGGAGCCAAAATTTGTCATGTTGCCCAGGCTTTAAAGTGTATGAAGGCTGAGACCATCTATCAGAGGAACATTAAAATCTAGAAAAGATATCACAATTGGAGAGACAGTGTCAATGAAGCTTCCAAGCATTCTATAAACCTACCAGCAACAGTCCTAACAGAAAGTTCTATCTACTAAGAACTTGGGATTCGGAAAAATTGAGACACTAATTCATTGTTGGTGGAATTGTGAACTGATCCAACCATTTTGGAGAGTAATCTGGAATTATACACAAAGAATTTTTAAAATATTAATAATAATTAAATAATAAAAGGTTAAAAAAAAACCTTCTGACATGGCAATACCACTACTAGGTCTGTTTCCAAAGATGATTATGGAAAAAGGAAAAGAACACATATGCTCTAAAATGTTTATAGCAGCTCTCTTTGTGGTGGCAAGAACTGGAAATCGCAGGGATGCCTATCAATTGGGGAATGGCTGAACAAGTTGTGATATATGATGGAATACTACTGTGCTGGAAGAAATGATAAGCTCTATGATCTTCAAAAAACATGTATAGACTTGCATGAAATAATGAAGAGTGAAATGAACAGAACCAAGAGAACACTCTATACAGTAACAGCAATACTGTTTTAAGAACAACTTTGAGCAAATAAGTTATTTTGACCATTATAAATGCCCAAATTAAATATAAAGAAGACGCTATCTACATTCAGAGAAAGAACTGATAAACAGATGTATAGAATAATTTTACATATATATCTGTGTGTGTGTGTGTGTGTGTGTGTGTGTGTGTGTGTGTGTGTATGCCTATTTGTGGCCATTTCAGGAGAGGGAAAAAAGGGAAGAAAGAAAAGAAAAAAAGAAATTGACATAATAATTTTGTTGTATATTTAAAAGGAATAGCAAGTTGTGTATAGTAGATTTACAATTTCATGTGTAAACATCTTTTTTATTATAGTGTGTTATGGAAATGCTTCTTTTATTCCATAAATTAAAAATAAATAAATAGATAGATAGATAAATAAACACTTGTCCTTGGAAAACCTTCTAAAATCTCTGACAATTTCTTCTTTTCCTTCCTTGCCTCCCATATTTTAAAAACAGTGTTAAAGGTTGGATCAATTATGTTTAAAGTTCTCTCTTAAAGCACCTCAAATTTAAATAAAGCCACCACCACAACCACCCCTCAAGGATGACCATTAATATAACTGCCAAACTGGCTCAATCACTTTAAGTTCCTGGTTGTGATTTCATACTCCATTAGGGAGCCTATGGCATACAATATCATTTTGATAGCCAAGAAAGTCACAGAACATCTTTACCCACCTCATCCTTATACTTATAGGCTGCTCATGAACAGAAGACAGATAAATAAAAAGATTGATAATATTTCCCACAATGTTGAGGTAGTTTTAAACCCCCTAATGTACTTCAATTGCCTGTCATAGGTCAACATTAGTAAATCTTACACACCCATTTGCCAACACCTGCCACTCCATGAGATGGGTAAAAATTATATCCTCTACTTTCATTTCATTTTTGCCTTGCTCCAACAGATAGAGAAAAATAGATTAAGCATACAACCCACATTGCTCACAGAACAATGGGATTTTTAACCTATAAGTCCTTTTACCAACTGGCAGAAATTATTCCAGAACATCTCTTTCTTTGAACTACCTACTTGGAATTCAAAGAAGGAAGACCAGGGAACCACAGAACACTTTTTTAATCAATTATCCCACTAATACAGTGTGCCCGTGGAATAATAACATTTGGAAGAGACTACCACAGTTTGCAAGATAAGTAGCCAACTCATTCTTACCAGGGTCAGTGCAGTTTTTACCAGGCCAGGGTTCTGTATTCTCTGGAATCAAGGTAGCATTCTCCTGCAGTAATCTCCTCCCACTCCATTTGTCACTTGTTTCCATATAGTCAAAGATATAATAACCTATGGAGAAAGAGGCAATAGTCCTATTGTTATTATAAGCCAAATGCCTTAGAAGCATTATTACTCTTCACAATCATGCCCTTCAAGTATGTCAACAGAATCATCCCTGTTTGAAAGGTGGAGACTAGAAGGCTCAAACATGTCAATTCACTGTATTCAGGATCACTCAGTATTTTAACCTTATATTAAAAAATATAACCTATAACCCACTCCAGTTCCTAGCCAACACTGTGTCTGCTTTACTGGCTTTGAAAGTGAAACCAGTCTACTTTCTAGTACATCAAGCACAATTTGACATAGCATATAGGAAGGAATCTCCAAATACATGCAAAGTACAACTGATGAGTATTGATATGTGTGTACATGAATATATGTCATCCAGGATATAACCAAGAAAAATAACCTCAGGATAATGTTATAGACTAGATCAATGGTTCTTAAAATGTGCACTGCATTCCTTGGAGGACCCTCAGACCCTTTCTGGGGATCTCTGAGGTCAAAATTATTTTTATAATAAAACTAAGATGTTATTTGCCTATTAAAATACGCTTTCCTTTCCAACTCTATATATGTCTGAGGCCATATTTTCTTTCAACTGAGAAAATATATCACAATAGATTAAATGCAGAAGCAGATATGAGAATCCAGCTGTCTTTTATTAAGAGAGACATTAATGAGATTTGCAAAAAAAGTAAAATAATGCTAGTCTTCTCACTGATTTCTTTCGTTTTGAAAAATATAGTTCTTTTTCATAATATACTATTTATGTTAACATGTAATGAGTTTACTATTATTTTAAATGAATTAATATTTATAAAACTTCCATTTTAATTTCAAATAGGATAAATATTGATATATATATATAATTCACATAAATAAAAGTTCTTTGAGATCCTCAATGATTTTTAAGAGTGTAAAGAGATCATAACATCAAAAAGTGTAAGAATGGCTAGACTTGATCAAAGAGTAAAAGATCACCTTTGTAAGTTATCTTAAACCTATGCTGCCACCGTAATGAAGAAGGAAAATGTAAACTTTGAAGACTGGAAGGAATATCTGGATTATAGCTACTCTTATTATGATTAGGTCAAATTAAGCCACCATAATTATTTGAACAAAAGACAGTGTGTCCTTAAATCCTCAAAGTCAAGAAGACCAAAGTTTAAGTTCTGACTCTGACACAATTGACTTGTCTCTATGAACATTTAATCCTTGAACCCTTTTTATGTGATTATTAGTTTACATTTGTTTGGAGCTTTGTTGATTTACAAAGCATTTTCCCCACAACAACCCAGTAGGGTATTTAGTAGAGGTGATATTATCACCATTTCATCAATGAGGAAATTGAAACTCAGATTAAGTGAGTGGACCCAGGTGAGGTCAGAACTGGGATTCCAACCTCAGTCTCCTGACTCCACATCTATCCCCTTCTGCACTATGTGGCAAACGGGGAAAAAAGCCAAACTCCAAACTCAAATGAAGGGAATGTTATTTATGCATCAGATTTTCCTAGGGGATGGGTAACAAATTAAATCAATTTGTAGCAGGATTTATTTTTAAGGAGAAGGAAGTCAAGAACTAGTCTGTGTGTTATAATAGGAAAAGCCCTGGACTTGGGTCAGAAAGCCTGAGTTCAAGTTCCTGCTACTTAGAATTCTCTCCTTCCTTATCCTCACCTCCTCTACTTCCTGGCTGCATTAAAGTCTCAGCTAAAATCCTACTCTCTCTGCAAGATGCCTTTCCCTATCCCCTTTGATGCTAATGCCTTGCTTTCAGCTAGTTATCTCCAAATGATCCTGTATATAGCTTGTTTGTGCATAATTGTTTGAATATTGTCTCTTCCATTAGACTATGAGCCCCTTGACAGCAGGGACTGTCTTTTACCTTTCTTTATATCCCCCTAACTTAGCACAGTGCCTGGTCCATAGTAGGTGTTTAATAAATACTTGTTGACTGATTGACTTATTGATGTCAGCAAGTTAAGCCTGTTTCCTCCTTTGCAATTGAATAACCTCTGTCCCTCCCGTCTCATGAGATCAAATGAGATAATAAACATGGAAGTGTCTTGTCAACTACAGATGAATATGAAAAATATATTGTTACGACTATTATTAGCAGATTACTAAAAAGTAAAGAGATCACATTACAGTTCTAGATTCAAAGCCACTGGACATCAGAGGAGAGGAATGGGCTAGATCAAATTAGATTAGATAAGGCAGGTAGGTGACATGGTAGATAAAGTCTGGAGTCAGGAAGATTCAGTTTCATGAGTTCAAATCTGGCCTCAGACACTTACTAGCTGTGTGACTCTGGGCAAGTTACTTAATCCTGTTTGCGGCAGTTTCCTCATCTATAAAAGAGCTGGAGAAGGAAATGACAAAACCACTCCAGAATCTTTGCCAAGAAAACCCTTTAGGGGGTCACGAAGAGTTGGATGTGACTGAAAATGACTGAACAATAACAAATGTCCTGGACACTGTGCTAAGATCTGGAAATACAGATATAACCAAAATGAAAGACAGCCGCTGCCCTCAAGAAGCTTATATTCTGACGCAGGAAGATTATGCATAAAAGAAAGATGAAAATGATGGTGGGAACTGAGATTCAGATTAAGTGAGTTGACCTAAGGTCAAAATTAGGATTCCAACCTCAGTCTCCTGACTATTCACTACATGATGAACAGGAAAAGAGCCAAATCCCAGATTCAAATGGAGGGAATATTATGTAGCAGATTTTAAACCAAGTTGGGAAAGTAGTCTACAAAGTCAAGAGCTGAGCCAGGTTAGAAGTGAGGATGGCTCCAAAAAGTACTTGGGAAGGAAGAAAGAAAGAGAGGGGGAAAGAAGGGTGAATGGAGTGGGGGAGGAATGGTGGGGTTGCCTCTCTTGATATGAATTGTAATTATTTGGCAGCTTAGAGATGAATTGTTGAGTATAGCTAGGGACTGAGAGAGGAAAAGAAAGGCAATCTAAACCACAAAGAAATACTATTATTGTATCTGGAAGGTCCTCCCTAAAGTAAAAAGCAGGTAGGGAAATTGCTATTAAAATTGGGGTACTTTAACAGGTAAATGCAGAATAAAAAAAATTAAAAGCATTTCCATTTGGCTTCAGACTTTATTTCTCTCGTTTTGGTTATGTGTTTTTTTTTAAAGTTTTTACATAGTTTATTTATGCTCTGATGAAAAATTTTCTTCATGGATAAATGTCTTCCGTAGTGCCTTTTATTCCTTCTTTTTGCCAGCACCTACATTTGCCTTTGCAGTACCCCTGACTTTCTTCATTCTGTTCTTGCATTCCTTTCGCTGTTTTCTTGATGTCTTTTTCTTCTCATACAGGCCATGCCTTGCAAGTCTGTGCTTTGGTCCATTTTTCTTTGCATAGTCAAGGGAATCATAAATCATGCCAAAGCCTGTTGTTTTGCCACCACCAAAATGGGTTCTGAATCCAAAGCCAAAAATGACGTCTGGAGTTGTCTTGTACATCTTGGCCAGTTTTTCTCGAATTTCAGTCTTGGGCACTGTGGCCTTTCCAGGATGAAGGACATCTATAACCATCTGTTTATGCTGAAGAAGTCTGTTTGTCATGTACTTCCTGGTTCTGATGGTTACAGTGCCATTCATGGTGGCGGCCGGCTCCTCGAGCAGCAGAAGAAGGAAAGCAGTTATGTGCTTTTGATGGACAAGAATGACACACTACTTTTTTTTTTTAAAGAATTGTTTTTCTCTATACATCTCACATCAGTTCTTGTTCTGTGTACCTTCTCCTCATTAGCCTAAAAGCTCCTGGAGGGCAGAGGTCATATATGATAGCATTTAGCAGCATCCAGATTCCACCCCTGATCTTCAAAGGGCAAATAGATGCATTTCAACCACTCCTAAAGCAGTTTGGGCCAGGCAATGAGTAAGAAATCCTGGGGTTTCGGGCATTAGGTGCCACCTGGGATACAGCTGGTAGACCAAGAGCACTGAACATCTTTGCAAAATTATCTTACAACTTAAAGTCTGTTCACTGACCAGAACTTGGGGCTTTTAGTGCATTTCCTCTCTGTCTCTTGCCTTTCATTAGTGACCAGAGGAACAGCTAGCCCTGTTCCCATTAGCAGCAGAGAGCTGTCAATTCCTTGGACTTTGTCATCTTTAATAAGCTCCCATTTGGAAGCTAATGTCAAGGTATCTATTTCTAAGGCAGTGTAAGATGGGGCTGCACATGAAGGTATCGTGTCATAAAAGGAGATAGTGCTGAAGGGATTTGCATGGGCATTTGAGAGACCCCAGGTGCCCATCCAGGGCAGTCAATTGCCTCATCCATACTGGTACTAACTCACCTTCCTCAAAATATCTACATCAAGTCAATTAAAGGTGAAAAGCAAAAACAAGGCAAAAAAATTATTCATCGAATATATTTTGGGGAAGAAAAAGGAAGAAGTTAAAACCTTTGATTTCGTTGAGCCAAGGTAGAAACTCTCCACTGGTGCAGATGAGTATCTTCAATTTATAATCTGAGAGAACTGTCTGGGGAACTGAGAAGTCGTATCTCAGCCACTGTCACCTAACTAGTATATGTCAGAATTTGAAATCAAGTCTTCCTGACTCTAAAGTTAGCCCTCTATATTCGAGCCATACTGGCTAATTGTATTAAGTACTTAGTTAAATGTTTGTGTCACATCAGTCAACAAATCTCAGAAGACACAGAATTGTACTTGGAGCTAATATATATGTATACATGAATGATGTATACTATATGCTATACTCTAAATATATTTACTATATGTATACTATATACCTACACATATATACATTAACAATAGTAAATGCCATATTTCTTTACACCAAGGTATACTATCAGCACACAATATACAGGGATTGTGAGCATAGATTATAGATTTTCAGAACTGCAATATCCTTAGAGTTCAACTACATCATTTTACAGATAAGGAGATTGAATTCCAAAGACATCAAAGAATTTGCCCATATTCAAACAGCTGGTTAATGACACAGC